TTAAAAGTTCCTCAAAAAATTCCCCATCACCAATACCTCCCTCTCCCCATCTACTAACTCCCCCCTCTGTTTTTAACTGACAAATCCATCTTTCCCTAGCTTTCTTAACTTGTTTAACTCATCCAAATTTTTTTTATTTTCATTAAAAATTTTTTGACAGTGCCTCTCCCCCCCCTTTCATCTGCTTCCTTTATTTATATATATAATATATATATATAATATAAATATATATAATATATAAAATATATATATATTATATATTATATATATATATATATATATATTACATATATACATATATACATATATACAACAACATACAAACATACATACATACTACATAATACATACAACATACATACATACAACATACATACATACATACATACATCTAAATAAAAGCGCCTTTAAATACGTTGTGGGGTAAATTTTTTCCCTAGACTGAGAGAATGGTCTGGTGTTTAGGTGTGTAGAGTATACAAGTCCGTCCCCCAACACACACATGATAAAAATACTAACCTCGACCTTGTGTTTGGGTAAAAAAAAGTGCTAAGGCATTTGCTAGGGGATTTTTCATGTTTTATTGGACATTTCTTGGGGTCAAATATGATCAGAAAAGACAAGTGAATTAGAGATGATTTTGGCCAGTTTCAGACTAGAAATGGGGCCCAAAAAAAAGCCATGATTTTCTCATATTTTTTTTTTTAAAAATTGAACTGAGAAAAAAAATATTTGGGGTTGGACAGTGAAAGGGTTAAAGGGAACGTGTGATGGAGACAACATGGACCTTTGGTCTTACCAACACAACAATTCAAATAATTAAAAAAGATGAAGGAAGATAAGAGCTCATGCAATAAGTAATCCTGACTCAGATCTGAGAAGGTCAAACAGTCATAACAGCTAAATATGAGAAGTTCCTGAATGTGTAGATTGAACACGAAACCAAGAAAGGCACCTAACTTTATGCTCTTATGATCAGGAAGACAGCCTATCATAATACAGTGTGTGATCAGGAAAAAAGCTAAAGAGACTAGGTGACTCCACCTCTTTAACATTCACAATCAGCTATATACTATCAAATTTGTCTGCTGATCATGCTGTCATAGGAAATTTCCCTGCAGGATTGGAGGGAAAATTTTTTTACAAATTAATACAAACGACCAAACAAGGGACCCCCCAAAAAAATTATTAACAAAAAATTAAAGGGGGATTCCCATAAATAAAATATAGAGAATTTCACATGCAATGGCAGTCAAACTTAAAAATAACATTCTGATAAAATGTGTATAGAAGGAAAAATTAAAAGTAAAAATTTTAGCCAAAAAGTAGGGGTTATGAATAAAAAAAAGCACAGAAAAAATTTTCTTTGGGGAACAAAAAAATAAGAGATGTAAGAAAAATAAAACTAGCCCCCCCAGTGCCTAGGAAGCTGAAAACAGAAGCAACAAATATGTATAAACATGTACCATTGAGGGAAAACCATAAAAGATCAATATAGAAGAGAAAGTAGGAGATGGTACTGAAAAAATGGGGGTTTCTGAACTGTTTAAAAAACACAAATATGCTACAACAAAGGGAAAAATAGACTTAGCAGAGAGATCTCTGAATTAGAGCAAAAACTTAGGATGTCTACCTCAAGAAGAAGTACAAAGGGAACAAAGGGGCATACAGGGTTTGCAAAACCCAAATATTTCATTTTCCCACACAAAATCCAAGCTAAAAACTACCGTGAATTGGCCACAAAAGAGGGAGACCGTAACTGACACGAACAGGAAAAGTGAAATCCTAAAAAGAACATATGAGTCGGTTGTTCACAACCCACTAAATGACACAAGGGAGAAAAGGAAATACTTTTCACTTCAGAAGAAGGCCACACAGACAAATAAATGACATTATACAAATCCCATAGATTTTGAAAAAGAAATGGGAAAAAATGCCCACTCACTCAAACCTGGACCGATTTTATGGAATGCCTATTTTTAAAGAAGTGCAAAATACCAAATAGCACGACTCTCGTATTTTTTTAAGAAAGAACTTAGATCAGGGAATACCGGGAACCTTTAAGGGTGAGACTTGGGTCCCTTTTCATAAGGGAGGGAGTAGAGCACTAGCTAAAAAATTACAGACCATACCCTAACCTCTCACATCATAAAAATCTTCGAAAATGATGAGACGGCAGTTACAAATTTCATGGACCAGCACAACCAACATAACCCGAACCACCATGGGGTTTTTGAGCAGGGCATCATTCTGCACAGCGCTGAAACATTTGACAGAATTACGGAGGCACTGGGAAAACAACCAAACGCCAGATGTGATTTACACAGATTTTTGGAAAAAGGGGTTTGAAAATGGATCATGGGAAAGATACCACAAAATAAGGGCCCTGGGGATTACAGGGAAGGTAGGCAGATGGATTTTCGGGTTCCTAACACACAGAACACAAAAGGTAGTAGTGAACACAGCAAGATCCAGCATCAGCGAGGTCAAAAGCTCAGTGCCCCAAGGCACTGTCCTGGCACCTCTGCTGTTCCTCATCCTCATAGCAGACATAGACAAAAACACCCAGCACACTTTTGTATCATCATTTGCAGATGACACTAAAATAATCATGAAAGACAGTACAGTAGAGGACACTGAAAAAGTACAGAAAGACATAAACAGGGTTTTCCAGTGGGTAGTGGAAAACATGACGTTCAATGGTGATAAGTTCCAGCTGCTTAGGTATGGAAAGAATGAAGAACTCAAAAGGAGCACTATATACAAAACTCAAGATGGTCACCAAATAGAATGTAAGGAACACATAAAAGAGCTAGGAATAATTATGTCAGCGGACCTTTCTTTTAAACACCATAACAAGACAAAGATCACGACAGCCAAGAAGATGACGGGGTGGGTATTGAGAGCTTTCAAAACAAGGGAAATAATGCTGATGGTGACACTCTTCAAATCGCTAGTGCTCCCTCACTTAGAATATTACTCAGTGCTGATGGCCCCGTTCAAGGCAGGAGAAATATTGGAGCTGGAACAAATACAGATCATTTACGGCTCACACTGAGCCAGTAAAGCACCTAAACTACTGGGAACGCCTGCAAGTCTTGAACATGTACTCATTGGAGCGGAGGAGAGAGAGGTACATGATAATATATACCTGGAAGGTACTCAAGGGCTTGGTCCCAAATCTGCACACTGCCATAACAACATACTGGAGTGAGAGATATGGGAGGAAGTGTAAAATAAACCCAGTGTGGAACAGGGGTGCAGTGGGGATAATAAGGGAACACTGTATCAACATCCGGGGTCCCAGACTTTTCAACATCTTGCCAGAAGATATCAGAAACACTGCTGGAACAAGTGTAGAAGCCTTCAAGAGGAAACTAGACAAGTATCTTCACCAAAAGCCAGATCAACCAGGCTGTGATGGATATGTGGGGCAGCGAGCCTCCAGCAGCAACAGCCTGGTTGACCAGGCAAGCACCAGACGAGCCTGGCCCATGGCCGGACTCAGAGTGGATAAACTCTCGAAACTCTTCAAAGGTATATCAAAGGAAGCCCTCCACTTTCACGAGTTCCACTTTCGGGGGCTTTGAATATTCGCGAATGCCCAGCCGCCAATCATATACAATATTTTACGATGTTTTCATGTGTTTTATGACTTTTCATCGTTCAATAGGTTAAAGAAGCAGTATTGTAAGGCTAAGTAAATGCTATTATTATGTTTCCCTACAATATATTTGTGCATCAAAACATTCACGAACGCTACAGTACAGTATTATTATATTTCCCTACATCATATTTGTGCGCCAAAAATTCGCGAATTTTTAAGATTCGCAAAGGTTCTTGATCCCCTAACCCTCACGAATGTGGAGGGCCTCCTTTAACAACAAATTCATAAAAATATATATTTTCACATATCCTTTTATGAAGTTATACATAAGGGCCCCACTTTTCAATGCTTCTCAAGCAATAAGCTTTGATAATTCTATTCACTCATGTACAAGTTCCACTCAAATCAAATCATGTGTGTGGGGAAGTACCCTGGCTGGTATGTGGGGAAGTACCCTGGCTGGTGTGTGGGGAAGTACCCCAGCTGGTATGTGGGTAAGTACCCTGGCTGGTGTACCACCATCACTACCACTATCTACCACCACCACTTTCGTATCTTTCTACCAACTTTTCTTGAATTCTATAGTGTTTCTTACGCTCTTTACCAAAGGGCTGGCACTAGAAGCTTTCTTTTGACCCATGGTGGCTTATTTAGCAGTTACAAGCACTAAAAACAATGAAATAATACAAAATGTATCTCATGTACACATGGAACCATTCTCACTAGCTTGTAAACAATGGCACAATGGCTGTACATGGAGTGGCTGGGCCTGAGCAGCCCGGCCACTCCATGTCGTTAACCAAGCCAATATTCTGATGCAAAAACGGGTTGTTATCCGATTTTTACATTATCCGATGACGTCATTAACTGAGGGTCCACTGTACCTGAAACATGCTCTATGAGGAAGTAGTATGTGATCAAATTAAACTTCAAAAACTACAAAAAAAAAAAAAAAAAATTAAATGGTGAAGAGGGGACGCTATCAGCATAGATTTGGTCTTGTGAAAAACAAATGTATAATTACAAATGAAATTTTTCTAAAAGAATTACAGTAAACCCTCAATATAATGGACTAACAGGGAGGATTGTCGAAGTATTTGTTAAATGAGAATGGTAAAAAGATTAAAGAAAAAAAAAAAGTATTTTACTTCATACCTAATATAATACTGAAAACATAATTTACAGATATACTGCAATAAACATTAAAAATAAAGTTAAAAATACAATTTAACCAGTGGATTTTGCCCACAATTTTAAAAGTCTATTATACTGAGGTCTGGTCATTAAAGATTTACTGTACTCTTTAACTGCTACTGAAATTTTACACAAAAATACAGAACAATTATACTTAAGCATCTTTCTCATCTTTATTAATCATTAAATACATACTTACTTGCCAATATTAGGATTTAAGACCATAAGACGGTTTTGATCCACTTTAAAGATGGTCAGTTTGGTGAGAGCTCCTATGCCATCAGGGAGGCTTTCTATGAGGTTCTGAGATAGATGAAGATCAGTGAGACTTGTAAGTCCAGCAAGGCCCTCAGGTACATCTTCCAAACGGTTTTCACTGACATCAAGACACAAAAGGTTCTTTAGGCGGCCTGTCTCTGGAGGAAGGTGAGATATCTGGTTGTGATCAAGCCACAACTCCTGAAGCGCTGGCAAGTCACCTATGTGTGGAGGCTGAAAGAACAGTTTCATAATGTGTGGTTTTGTAATTAGCTGCATTATAAGCAAATGAAACATTTCCACATGAAAATGAAACAAATGCTAGTACTATTCTGTAACAGTAATCTGATCAGGAGTAGGCATATATTTCATATAGTCACATAAAATGTCAAATGCTGATAAATATTGCGATGTCATAAAATTACTTTAAGAGCATACAGAGATATGCAGACACTACACAAATTAATTTTTTTTTTCAACAAATTGGCCATCACCCACCACAGTAAGGCAACCCAAAAAAGAAGAAACACTTTCACCATCACTCACTCCATCACTGTCTTGCTAGAGGAGTGCCAATACCCCAGTTCAAAACTGCAAATATTCCCACCCCTGTTCGGAGTACAGGCATTGTACTTCCCACCTCCAGGACTCAAGTCCGGCTAACCTGTTTCCCCAAATCCCTTCGTAAACATTACCTTACTCACACTCCAACAGCACATCAAGTCATAAAAACCACTTACCTTCACTCACTCCTATCTAACATGTTCACACATGCCTGCTGGATGTCTAAGCCCATTGCATGCCAAATGTCCTTTACTACCTCCTCCAGCCTTTCTTGGGATGACCCCCCCCCCTACCCTGCTTTCCCTCCTCCACAGATTTATACGCTCTCTAAGTCATCCTTTGATGGGTTTCAAGAGTTTTTCTACTCCCGAACCATATCACTGGGCCAGCCTTGTCTGGTGCTTGCCTGGTCAACCAGGCTGTTGCTGCTGCAGCCCACTCACCCACATATCCATCACAGCCAGGTTGATCTGGCACCTGGTGAAGACAGTTGTCCAGTTTTCTCTTGAGCTTTTACACTTGTCCAAGCTGTGTTTTCTGACATTGGTAAGATGAGTAGTATGAGCCATGGATGCTGATGCAATGTTTTCTTATTGTGCCCATGCTTTTCATTTCTCCTACTCCAGTATGTTGTTATGGCAGTGTGCAAATTTGGAACAAGGTCCTCAACTACTTACAGGTACATACATGTATTATCCTATATCTCTCTCTCTCTCTCTATGCAGACCATAAATGATCTCTGTTTCTGTTCAAGCTCTGATAATCTTTCCTACCCTGAATGATGATGTCAACACTGAACAATATTCTAAATGGGACAGCACAAGTAATTTGAAAATTGTCACCACTGGCACTATTCCCCTTGTTTTGAAAATTCTCATTATCCACCTCATCATCATCTTAGCTGTCATGACATTTGCCTTATCGAGTTCTTTGAAAAAAAGGTCACCTGACATAATTACTTTCAGGTCTTCCACGTTCTCCTTTCCTTCTACTTGATGATCCTCATGAGTTTTGTATACAGTGTCCCTTTTCACTTCTTCATTCTTCCAATATCTAATCACCCTTTTCAGTTCTTCATTCTTCCAATATCTGATCAGCTGGAACTTATCACCATTGAATATCATGTTCTCCACTGCGCACTGGAAAACCCTGCGTATATCTTCCTGCAATTTTTCCTTTCTTCTACTGAGGTGATTTTCAAGATTATTTTAGTGTTATCTGCAAATGATGATACAAAACTGTGATGGGTGCTTTATCCATGTCAGCTATTAAGATAAAAAAAACAGAAGAGGTGCCAGGACAGTTCCTTGGGGAACTGAGCTTTTCACCTCAATGATGCTGGATTTTGCTCTATTTACTACTACTTTTTTGTGCTCTATATTAGAAACTTGGCAATCCATCTGTATATCTTCCCCAGTTATGCTCATGGCTCTCATTTTGAGTGCTATCACATCATTACAGCCTCTCCTCACTTAGCGGCATACTTGTTTACCGATGCCACGGACTTACAACGGACTCTATGACCAGTATTTATACCTAAATAATGTACAGGTCCGGCATCACAAATCCGGCAATCAGTTATTCGGTTCCTTCAGTTATTTGGCACTAATTTTGGCTAGCATAATTTCAAATTTCCAGGGTCGCCACACCAACCTGCTGGTACTGTTTGGTGGTGCTACTTGCTGCATAAGTCATTCCAATTTCTTTTTCTCCATTTATTGTTTTAACCTGCTTACTTTTAGCCCTAGCCATGGTTCCAATGAATAAAAGAAATGCTTTTCATTATGAAAAGCCCCTACAAAACATTACCATAAAGATAAGGGGCTTTAAAGCCCTGTCATTGCCATGAGCTCATTCCATGGCAGGAGAATTCTTTTTATTACGCATTATAAACCTACGCTTATTTCCTTACAATCGACTAAATGACATAAGAAAAAATATAAATAACATAAACATGTTAAATACCCCGAAGAATAATATTTGGGCATAAACCGGCAGTTCGACGGTTTTATAAAGGGAGGAACAAATACCATTCCCCTATCCTTGTTTTGGGGGACTTATATTAGGAAACAAGTAGGGGACAGGGCTAACTATGAAAAACACTCTACTCCCACCATAAACATGAAACAAAATGTTTTTTTCTGTCTATAATTACACACACAGCAGCATATGTGTAGAAAACCCTAGATAAAAAAAAAAAAAGTAAACGGGGGCTCATTTCTAGTACCGGGTTTGGGGTTTACCCAATAAGTGGCCCCCCCGATAACGAGGGCATACATACGTTTTTTTCCGCATACCGATTATTTTTATCGCAAAATTTTTGCCGGCATCCGTTTAAAAAACCCGCTCCCCCCGTTTTTCGTCCGAACGCGCCCAAATGTCCCCTCAGCCGCCTCACATGTCCCCCCCCGTCCCATTGTTTACCACCACCCTCCGCGGTAACACCCAAAAGCAACACCGGGAAATTTGTATTATTACATTTTTTGGGTGCGTTTCGGAAATAAGTGCCATGGGCCCCAAGAAACTTCTAGTGCCAACCCACACCTAAAAGGGAAAAATTACTAAAAAAAGAAAAAAGAGAAATTGTAAGTAGAAATGGAGTGGTATAGCCGCCCTAGTAAAGCTGTCAAAACCCCCCAACAACCATCGTACTTTTTGGGGCCCCAAAAAGACAATCAAGGAAGCGTTCTTCCCAAAAGGGTTCAACTGGTTTTCAAAAACAAAGATCGAAAGTGAGGAAGATTTTGAGAGACCTTATTGGTGTGGATAAATAAAACAGCTCAGGAGATAGACTCTCAACGATCATATGTGAAAAGGCTAGGAAGTTCTGGGGTTTTAAATTTAAAAAAATGCCAAAAACTAGTGAGAGTGAGTGTTTTAAAGGCCACAAAGGTTGGTTTGAGGTTTTAAAGAAGCGTAGGGGGCCCCATAGTGTGAAAAGGCATGGTGAGGCTGCCAGTTGGCCCCAAAAAGCGGCTGAAAAATATTGCAGGTTTTTCAAGGAGACATAGAAACTGAAGGACAAAAACCGAACAAGTGTTATTGTAGAAAACGGGCCTGTTTGGAAAAAATGCCAGAGGCCCACATTATAGGGGGAAAAGGCACTCCGGAAATAACCTTTGAAAGCGGGCTTACTTTGTTGATTTTGCCAATGTACGGTGTTTGGGGAAAAGTGAACCTTTATTATGTATCACTCTGAAATCCCCGGCGTTCAGGCAAAAGAAAGTCCTCAAGGATAATTTGTGTTTCTGTGGAGGGAAAAAAATAAGGGATGGGCACAGGGGTTTTTCTATAACTGGTTACACCAGTTTGCCCCCAAGTGAAAAATTACCTAACTGAAAAGAAATTAGAACTTTAATCTCCTGGTGTTAGACAATCCCCTGGTCATCCTACAGACGTGGCAGGCGACTTTAGGGGGCATGGCTTCATTAAGGTGAGTTTTGCCTCCTAATACCACTCCTTCCCCCAGCCCATGGACCAGAGGTTTTTTCCAACTTCAAGAAACTGTACCAAAAGTCTGTTTGAAAGGTGCTTTGTAAAGCCTCAAAAAAATCAACGACTCTAAGAAGTTTTGGAAGATCACTTTAAAAACCTCAATTGTGTAAACCTTATAGGTAAGGCTTGGGGGGAAATGACTAAGAGGGCCTTGAAATCTGCTTGGAAGAAACTGTGGCCCCCAAAATTTTAACAAAAGGGGTTTGAAGGGTTTGGGCTAACCCTGAGAACCTGTGCCAGTTGAGGAATCCATTTTGGGGATTGGGGAAGTCCCTTGGGGGTTTGGGGGTTAGTGGGGGGGATGGGAAGAGTTGGTGGAGGAGGACAATGAAGAACAACCACTGATGAGCTATAGATCAACTTCAAGGCAAGAGGCCAGACCGGGGGGAAAATGGTTTTTAGAGGGGGGGGGGAGAGAAATTGAAAAAGTTTACTACAAAGATAAAGGGAAAACGTGCAAGTGGCTTGAGTGCAAACCTTCATGGATGAAAATCCCCCTACACAGATTTCAAGCCGTGCGGTGTTTTTTACACGCAAATTTTTGAAACCTTTACAAGTAAAAAGGAAGAGAGGTACAGGCCACTTGGACGATTCTTGGCGAAAGAAGCCGTGACTCTGAAGCTGGCCTATGGGTTAAAAAAAGAAGGGAAGTAACCCCCCGAAAAGGACTTACTACCTCAGTCCTAATGGAAGGGGGGTTCCCCCTTTTAACAGTAAAAGATAATTTCTCTCCCCCCCCCTCCCATCCCATCAATCATCACCAGATTCTTTAAAAAATAAATTCTGTAAATTTTGCTCCTTTTTCAGTTTGTGTGTATTAAAAATTAAAATTTCTGTGGGAAAAAAAAATTTTTTTCATACTTTTGGGGCTTTTCCGGATTAATTTTTTTTTCATTATTTTTATGGGGGAAAAATTTATTACTAAAAGATTTTTCGCATAACAATTACCCCCTTGCACGGGTTAAAATCGTTAACCGGGGGTCCACTGTATTATTTTTGGTAAATATTTGATTCCCAGCCAGGGTAGAAACATTAGGCGTGTTTCTTTACACCTGTTGTAAAGGATGGGTAACTGGGTGTTAGTCGACTAGTGTGGGTGTTATCCTGGGACACTGACCTAATTTTCTTGAAATACTCAGCATAACAAGTGCCTTTCTATACAGTAGTATGTCACT